GAGGAAAGAGTTTCGGTCAGTGGGAGGAAAAGGGGGACGAAGCAAACTCCCATAGTGTGGGAGGGGTCTCTTGGTCCTGATTTCTTTGAGGAACCAGTTGATCAGTTCCCCGAGAGCAAGAGTGATTTCACCAAAGAGTGCCCTCTCAGAGGATATGATAACCGAAAAGAAGATTGGCCCAAATGCATGTATGGTGAGGACTGCTTAGTGCACATGTTCACCGAGGGGATGGATGGAGGTCGTCGCTTCTTCAAATTCCCGCGAGCATGGGGAATTACTATTACTATTTATTTGTTAAATATGTTTCTCGATTGCACTACAACTTACATGACATACTTATTGCAGTCTTCCGAGTCCGAAGAAAACTGTGGGTTCACTAGATGTGTCGATCCTCGTCCAATTTATCTACATCAGGAGTACATCTACTACCTATAGGATCATATCTTCGAGCTAGAAAGGGAAGTTAGCAGCGGTTATAAGGACGATGAAGACGACGGCAACAATAATGGTGCCGGTTCACAGGAGGCGCTCTGCAATGATCCATACCGCACCTGCCCTAATCACAAGAACAAGGGGACTCCGTCGTCACCCCCGCCACCACCACCACCAACAATGGGAGGATACTATAGAGAAGGTGTAACACAATTTGCTATGTGGCCACACTACTAGGAGGAACCTATCTTATTCACATGCCATATCCATATGTTTGTTGATTCCTTTAATTATCTAAGGCATATTAGGTTTAGTCGAAGGACCTATGTACCCTTGTTTGGTACATGTTCTTACATGGCATTTCATGTGCTTGTTGTTCGCTTCAATCACCTAAGGTATGTTAGGTTTAGTCGAGGACCTCTGTACCCTAGTTTGGCACATGTTCTCACATGCCATTTCATGTGTTGTGCGTGCTGAATTATGTAATGCACTAGTTTGTTATGTTTTATTTGGAGTACGTGAACTTATTTCACTACCTCCGCAATATAAAAATAAATATTATGACCACAAATAATGAAAACAACAAAACAATGAAAGTCCAATACTATGGCACATTACACAACACAATGATAATAGAAGTACATGCCGACAAACTAAATAACGCAGTAAATAGCCTAAGTACGTCCATAATTAAAGTGCAGTACATGACAACACAATAAAAAGTCTAAGACTAGACAACATTGTTCATGAATAAACCATACAACTTGCAAGTCATGGAGACTACTGAGTGCAACGAGGCCACTTTCCCTTCCTCAGGGCATCGGGATTCTCCTCCATCGTTGCTTTCGCTCGGCGCACACGCTCAAGCTTCTTCTCCCTCTCCTCCATGTACGCAGCAACACGTCTCCTTTTCTCCTCTTCCTTGTGCTCCTTTTCTGCAGCCACCTCTTTGCGTCTGCTCTCGATCAACTCCTTGTCCTCTGCCTCCCACCGCAAGAGTTTCTGCATCCACTCCTTGTCTTCTGGCTTGATTTTAGTGTCGATCCACTGCTCAAAATCACAGAGCGGTGGAGGGGTCTGCAATACATTTAAATGTTACACACCAAATAAACTATACATGACTTCATATGACATAAAATAATTATTATACAACATCAATTTCCTAGCATCTTGTTAATGCGGTGCTGAAGAAGTGTAGGCTCAAAGGCAAAATTGGCACACATCCAATACCTCTGCCTATACGTGTCCTCTTTATCGGACTTCGCTAACTTGCAAGGATCACCGCAAAAGCACATGGGCACTGAAACACCACTAGGCCGAGGTAATGGGTCGAAGGCATTTCCGGTCTTCCGGCCATAACTACAAATGAACCAATTTCGTTCTAAGAACCGAAAGCAATGACCATTAAACCATAAACCTAATGTTTTCTATTTGTTGCACATAAATGACCCAATAATATAACACGATTGACAGAGATTACCTTGGTTTACTAGCTTTACCACACCTTGACATCCTACCGTTACATAATACAAAAAATTAATAATCACTTCAAACAATAAGTACTAATGTATTTAGGGTTGCAAAATACACGTAATATATACCAAACCAATGCGTAAAAAATAAGGAGGGGAGAGAACATACCTTGCTCTCGAAGATCTATGGATCAAATCTAACTTTCCAAGGTCAAATTGCTCGATTCAAGAGATTGTGCGGTTTGGGGAGAGCAAAAACCCGAGAACAAGGAGGAAGAAATGAAAAGAGCCTCGGCCAGGGAAACCTTGGCGTGGGTTTTGAATCCGAGCTCGACGTCATAGATCTTGGCTCCTAGGTCGGCGCCAAGATCTGTGGCTCCGACGTCGGCGCCAGGGTCCGTGGCGCCGACCTACCTGCCACGTCAGCGCCACTTGGATGCCCCGTTTTTCCCGGCCAGGCATCTCGGCGCCGACCCTAGGGTCCAAAGATCAGTTTACATCGCTCAGGGGGTTAAACGTAAATTTTCTTCAAAAAATGCCAAAATGCAAAAAATTGGCTCACACGGACTCACAAGTGCGCTCTCCAGATGGCACTTTTCGCATTGAGAGAATTACTTGTGTGGCTCTAAAAAAACTTGGTTTTTCTTTCTTGGCCTCTTTTTTTCCGAACTTACCTATATGGCCTCAAAACTATTTTCGCTTCCTTGTATGACCTTTTCGTTAGTTTAGGCACTTTCGACGGTGTTAAGTAAGGGATAAAATGACCAATGCATTTAAACATGGAGTAGTACATAATACACAGACATATTGCAATAGAATTAGCTTATCAAATGCATAAAAAATATAAGCACATTGCAATTCATTATATATTAGCTAGGTTCAGTCGGACATAAATAAGGTCACCAATGCATTTGTGCAATGCAGTTGTTCAGGTGCAAGTAGCTAGCCAGCAAGATCGAAGCCATTAGCGATGAAGGAGAAGAGACGCATGCATGACAAGGTCCAACAGTCAGCACTGGCCGTTCGACGATCTATTGCAAGACGAGACCGACATGAGCGGCCGCGTCCCGCCAGCCGAGGAAGCACGCGCCGCGGGCCTCCTTGGCGACGTACCCCTCCGATGGGTAGTGCAGCCGCACCTGCGAAACCGCGAACGCGCCGAGCGGCCAAGGCGAGAGCCCGGCGGCACTCGCGGCGGAGGCCCACGACTCGAACCTCCAGGAGTTTTTGCCGACGCCACGTCGATCTCTCTGTGCCGAGGACCTCGCTCTCCACCAAGAGACGGTCAGCGCGCGCCCTGGATCCACCGCCGGGGCGGATCCGGCGCCGCTGCCGGGCAGCCCCCGAAGGCGCGGTCGTCGTCCATGGACGCTGTGGCTGCGCGCCCCCTTTTTTTCTAACCCGCGAGCTCCTGCGTGATGGATAGAAGAAGGGAAAGCAAGGACATAAGGGTACTTCAGATATTTGGCATACCTTAGAAGGGAGAACTAACAGTAAAACCTAACAGAAAAACCTAACAGAATGAACGGAAAGGCCAAGGAATAGAAAATAGTTTTGAGCGCGGCCCTGTTCGGCTTATCTCATATCCGGCTTGTTTGGTTTCTTTTTAAGTTCGAAAAGATTTTTAGGCACAAAAGGGAAGATCAAGTTTTAATCGAAAAGGAGTTTTAACGGGCAAGGCTAAAAAAGGAAGATCAAGTTTTTTTAGGACCACATAGCTAATTCTCTCTTTCGCATTTCGCTTTGGCAAGCATCTGGGCTGGATTGGAACCGGTGACTCTTAGCGTGGCCCAAGATGCGCCTCTCCCATCTCAAGCGTCGCCGTGCTGAAGATAAGTTCTGAAGAATAACGCTACTGCTAGGACGGAGCACGTAACGCTACCACTGGCTGGCACGAATCGCTCCGCCGTAGAGAGTGATAAGCACGCTTTACGGCTTTAGGAAGTGCGTTTATGAGATCGAGATTCCGCCACACCACACGTGGTCGCTATCCAGATTTGGTGATGGTAGCGAACAACTTATCAACAACAAGGTGAAGCCTTCCTTCGCGGTTCTTTTTGGGTCTTCCTCTTCCTCTTCCTCTTCCGGCCGGTCGTTAACCTGCCAACCCTGCAATCCAAAGGTAGTACGGACGACGGCACTTGGAGGTGTCATCGGTGCGAGTTGCTTCGGATGGGACGCCTGCGTACTTGTCGACTTGCTGATGCGTTTCGTTCTCAACCGAATTTCTCTCGCAGATAGAGCGGCAGAGGGCAGGAGGCGCGTGCACGTGACGTTGAATATTCCAAAGATCGTCGCGAGTCCGTCACGAAAGGCAACACTACACACCTAGGACTAGGAGTACGTCCGGCGCCACTGCAGTCTACTACTACTACGCGTCGAAATGTAACCTAACCTACATACGTACGGCGACAGCGATTTAGTACGGAAAATGGTTTCGATTCCTTTGGTTTCTGGTTAACCTTGCCGACATAAATTCCTACTGCGGTATTGTCTGTTGTACCATGTGCGGAACAGTGCATAGTACTGTTTAAAGAAGTGGAAATGGCATTGGAGGTCACTGAACTTGCCCTGTATGTGCAAATAGGTTACACGCAAGAGGCTGCCAAACATTATTATAAGACAAGAACTAAAAGAAGTTACACGTTTTTTTTTTTTTTAAGATTGTTGTAATGCAATGTCCATATCAGCGTGTACGGAATATCATGGCGAGATACGTGGACTGATGAAGAACTGCAACTGTAGTTAACTCTGCTGCGGTAGTAATCATACACCGATCCATCTGTTAATTCTATAGTATGGTACATGCGCCTGCGAAATCAAACGCAGAAAAAGAGAAGGCCAAAGAGCCAAAACTGGAAATCAAAGAGGAAGCACGCACCCCCCGGTCTAGCTAATCTACGACTACTGCCTCTTTCCCCTCACTCTACACACCTCCAGACAAACACTGCCTCTTTCCCCTCACTCTACACACCTCCAGACAAACATGGGCTCCTTCCTCACGGTCGCCGCGCGCGCGTAGGAATAAACACCTCCAGACCTGACTAGGCAGGCCGGCAGGCCGGCCGTGACCGACTGACAGTGAGCGATCATGACTCATGAGGTGACCTTGGCGCGGGTGCACGGGGAGAGGGAGTAGTGTCCGTGCGACCCGCCGCCGGCGTGCACGCGGTGGTGCGAGGACGACGAGGCAGGCGCCGCCGCCTGCGTGTCCCGCTCCACGAGCGCGCGCAGGCGGAGGAACTCGTCGACGGAGCAGGGCAGGCGCAGTGGCCCCGCGGAGTAGTCGTAGCCGTAGGCGTCGCGCGCGGCCTCCAGCAGGCGGCGGAACAGCGGGTGGTACAGGTACGCGATGGGGATGACGAACCGCTGGAAGCCGCCCTCGTCGCCCTCCGCCCCGACGCGCACCGCCAGCCACCCTTTCTTCACCTTCCCCTTCTTCTCCTCGCCGCCGTGCAGCATGGCTCTTGTCTCCGGGCTCCCTCTTGCTCCCTACGACGACGGTCCTTGGCTCCTATCGATCCTTCTTGCAACCGGCGCGACAACGATCGATCGATACTCCAGCCGCCGTCCTTGTATGCACACGGCGCGCCCGGCTTCTTGGCTTCTTGGCAGCGCAGGACCGGTGCAGTGCAGGCTAAGTACGGCGTTCGTACTAGCAGCGAGCGAGCACTTGGAGCGCCCAAGCAAACAAAGCAAATCAGTTTTTGTTTAATCCCTCGGTATGGTGCGAGGTGTTTCGTGGCACTCGTGGTGGTTTTTATAGGGGGGACTCGATATGCTGGGTGCGGTGGTGCCTAGCTAGTGGCCGGGGTGCGAGTGCACGTACTAGCACGTCCTTTGTGTTACGGAAAGGAAAGGCGGCGTCGCTTGCCCCTCCTCTGTCAGACACTCAGACCTCAGCTCCGGGTGAGACAGATCGCACTAAGCTATTTGTTCCATCCGCTAGCTAGCAGTGAACTGACGGCCGGGCGGGGTCACGTACCGGTGCCGTGTCAGCGTCAGGTAGGCACGCACCGTGCGATCGCGTCAGGCTAGCTTGTCGTGCGCGCGCGTCAGTCGTGGTGGTGGTGGTGGCCGCGACGCCGCCGTGACGGTGAGGACGAAGGAAATGGTGGGGGAGTCAAGCAGGCAGGCGGACTAGCCTTTGTGATGCTGTGAATTTGTGATGCGCGGCCTGGCATTTGCTCGGATGGACATGGACGGGCGGATGGGTGGCTGTGGATGGATCGGAGCCGGAGGACATGGTGCGCGCCGTGCAGGCCCGGGGGTCGTCCTCCTCCTCCTGTGGAACGTGAGTGGGCCACGGGCGGGGAGAGTGGGCTGTGGTGGAATCGAGATCCCGGCGAGTGGGGGAATGATGTGCCGCCGCTGCCGCATCAGTTGACTGCTGCGCCTGCGCGCGATCGATGGCTGCTGGTGCTTGCCCCCACGATGGCTGGAGATTGTACTGAGCGCGAGATCGATCGAGTGGGGTCGGCGGGTGAGACGACGACGACGTTGATGATGATGAAACGGCGGATCGGTCGCTGCCGGTCGAGCTAGCTAGCCAAAGATACGAACAAGTCTATCCTGTTAAAAACTTAGGATCACTAAGAGTAGATATAGCGGGTGAGAACATTTCTAATTGGGAAAAAGACTAGACCATGAACTTGGGAATGAGAGAGAGAGAATTGAAGTGGTTGACTATGGGTATGTTTGGTGGAGGAGCTTGTCGTGGCGACGGTGTCGGTGGCGCGAGAAGTCGATGAAGAGGTGGTAGTGAAGTCCGGCGGCGGTGTAGACGTTACGGTCCAAGAGCGGCGAGGACGTCGGGGTTGATGCAGTGGTGGCGGTGAGTCCTCCTGTCGCTGGCAGCGCTCCCTCTCTAGATCGGATTAGGGATTTGTCGGTGGGGTTAGTGGCGGCACGGTGAACCTTGTACCGAGTGCCCCGGTCCCTCACCTCCTTATATATGGCGCTGTGCGACGGAGGTCCACCAACCATGGCTCGGTTCGGCATCCTCGATCAGGGCGCGGATCAAGGCCCCGACTCGGTCCAACCTAACATTCTCTCCCGTGACCTCACTTTTCAACTTGAACTTAAAATACTTTATCTTTTTCCATTCCATCACATATTAGTGCATAGAGCGTGCCTTGTCACAACAGTTAGTACTACTGGATTAACAGCTATAATACACCTCTCTATTTTGAAACTGATTCTCAATTAGACCCTTATTGTCCAGGAATCACAGGCTTTCCCGTAAACCCATGCCGGCTAAGTGTTCTCTGAACACATTAGGCGGTAAGCCTTTTATAAGCGGATCTGCAAGCATTTTCTTTGTACTAATATGCTCGAGACTAATAGAATGATCCCGGATTTTGTCTTTCACAACATAAAACTTTATGTCGATGTGTTTGGCAGCACCACTTGACTTATTGTTGTGATCATAACATACTGCCGGCTCATTGTCGCAGTACAACTTGAGTGGTCTATGAATGTCATCGACCACTTTCAACCTGGGCATAAATTTCTTTAACCAGTTCACCTGCCATATGGCCTCATAACATGCTACAAACTCGGCATACATCGTGCATGATGCAGTAACAGTTTGCTTTGAGCTTTTTCATGATATAGCTCTCCCTGCAAGAGTAAATACATAACCTGATGTGGATTTTCTATCATCTACATCTCCCGCAAAATCTGAATCTGAATACCCTTCTATATGTAGGGAATCAGACATTTTGTGCCTTGCAAATAACGTAATTTTTTTACCATTCTCCAGTGTTCTATTCCTGGATTACTCTGATATCTGCCAAGTATCCCGGTAACAAAAGCTAAGTCAGGACGTGTACATACTTGAGCATACTGCAAGTGTCGGGTATCGATAGTAGAGATACCCAAAGCATGGGAGCTAGCGCCCACGCTAACTTCCTTAGATGGAGCAAGACGTATTAAAAGGTCTCGACCGACCCCAAGGCCGCGGGGGTCTCACCCAAGGCCGCAGGCTCCGTCTTGCCCGACCTCGAGACCACGGGCTCCGTCTCACCCAACCCCAAGGTCACGGGCTCTGTCTCGCCCGATCTCGAGGCCGCGGGCTCCGGCTCGCCCGACCTCGAGGCCACGGGCTCCGTCTCGCCTGACCCTTTAGGTTCGTGCTCCGTCTCGCCCGACCCCAAGGCCGCGGGCTCCATCTCGTCCGACGGGGACCCATACCGCCGCCAACCACTCCAGGTCCAAGCGTATGGGTCTGGGTCAAAACTCTGACACCAGAGAAGAGACCGACAAGCCTCGATGTAACCAGTGGCCATGATGGGTCATACCTGAGGATTCACATCAAGAACAACATCGGGTGTGCCGGTGCTGTTCTGCCTAACCATCGTACGAACGCTGACAGGCGCGTCAGTTCACGACGACGTCCGCCGGGACGGAATGGAACGCCATGACCAGCAGACGACTCCTGCGCATAGCGTTAGTGACGAACAGGGCCACGACATGGAGCCATCCCTGTTGACGTCTATAGGATCGGCGGCACCCGCATGAAGGAGAAGAAGGACCCAGCAATCCTGAAAGCCTTCTTCTCTCTCTTTCTCGTTCTTCTCCTTTTCCTCCGCTGTAACCCTCGCTTTCCCTTGGCCTATAAAAGGAAAAGTAGGGCGCCCCATGAAGGGGATGGATCTAGATCCGCATGAGGCTGAACCACGAGATAGAAAACACAAGAGCATGACACGAACACATGGCTGAGCAGCAACCGAGATCTCAGCACCCGTTCACTCCTTTTATTAGAGACTTGGGATCCTTTCCGTCTCTCGCTCGTTTGTAACTATTACTACAAACTTTCAGTGCCGGTAACACGAGCAGCAACAAACTGGACGTAGGAATGTTCTGCCCGAACCAGTATAAACCCTTGTGTCCTCCGAGCACACCATCCAAGCCAGACGCACAAATACAAATTTACTCGTCGGTGGTCCGAAAACACCGACAGCAAGCTTCCTACAGCTGAAGCATATGGAACCGCTTTCATTCGATCGATCTCATATTGATTCGTGGGACATTGGAATTCCCCAAAACTATCGCCCTTGACTATAGGAGCAGGTGAAGGCTTACACGCATGCATACTGTATTTCTTTAGAAACTTTTCTAAGTATGCCTTTTGTGATAATCCTAAAGCCCCCTTTCTTCTATCTCGGTGAATCTCTATCCCTAAAACAAACGAAGTTTCAATGAGATCTTTCATGTCAAAATTTGAAGACAAGAACTTCTTCATCTCCAGTAGTAGATTAACATCACTACTAGTGAGTAAGATGTCATCCACATACAGGATTAGAAAAATGAATTTCTCATTCTTGAACTTTGTATAAATGCAATTGTCCTCCACATTCTCTTTAAACCCAAACTTTCTTATCGTTCCATCAAACTTAAAATACCACTGTCTAGAGGCTTATTTTAAGCCATAAATAGACTTCTTCAAGTGGCATCCCATACGTTCTTTTCCTTTCACGACAAAACCTTTTGGCTATGCCATGTAGACATTCTCATCTAAAGACCCGTTAAGAAAAGTCGTCTTTACATCCATCTGATGTAATTCTAAATCGTAATGCGCCACTAACGCTATTATGATTCTAAAAGAATTCTTGCATGAGACTGGAAAAAATGTCTCATTATAATCTATTCCTTCTCTTTGTGTAAAGTCTTTCGCCACAAGTTGCGCTTTAAATCTTTCCACATTCTCTTTGAAGTCATATTTAGTTTTGTAGACCCATTTACAGTCTACTGTCTTGGCTACTTTAGGAATTCTTTCTAAGTCCCAAACACCGTTGGTGCTCATTGATCTCATTTCATCTTGTATGGCTTCAAGCCACTTTGATGAGTGAGCGCTTCTCATGGCTTTTTCAAATGAGGTGGGATCACCCTCCATTTGAAAATTTTCACATTCATAGATTTCGTAGTCATCAGGAATGGCTGGTTTTCTGGCTCTTTGAGACCTTCTAGGGGCCTCATTAGTTGGCGCTTGTTCTATATGGGGCTGTTGTTGCTCTTCCTTATGTGCGACAATGGGTTCTATAGGATCTTGAAGGACAAGTTCCTCATGTTCATTTATCGTTACTACGGGAGAACTAACAACAGGTGTTGTCACTATAGTGTCCTATACTATTGGTGTAGAAACAATAGGTAGCGTGAAAAATGGCTCCTGAACCATCGGAGTGGGCATGTATACCTGCTTCTCCTCAAAGTTACTTTCTCACGCTACCATGCTCCCCCTGACCATATCATACTCCAAGAACACAGCGTGTCTTGTTTCTACAAACTTCGTACGTCTGTCAGGACAATAGAAACGATAACCTTTTAACTTGTCTGGATAGCCAATGAAATAGCAACTGACTGTCATGAAGTCTAGCTTCCCAATGTTTGGGTTAAATACTTTAGCCTCAGCTGGATAGCCCCACACATGTAAGTGATTAAGTGAGGGTTCCTTTTCTGTC